GCCCAGTGCCCAGGACAGGCTCATGGAACAGCTCACCCTCCTATGTGCCAAGCAATTCAGAGCCTCTTCCTCTGCCTGGAAGGTGCCTGCAGACATGCGCCCGGTCAATGAGCAGCTGAAGGTCAGAAGCAGGTGGGACTTCTTGCCAGTCATGGCCCTGTCCTCTTTACAACTGGCCCCAGCCTGGCAGCCTATTGTGGATGGGGCACTTGATGTATATTTCTCATTTCATCTAAAAAAATCTGATCAAGTAGGTGCTACTATGATCTCCATTTCATAGGTGGGGAAACTGAGGCTTAGAGATATTGACTTACCCAGGTCATATGTAGCAAAGCTGGGACTCAGGCCCCAAAGCACCTCTCTTTCCCCCACCCCATGGGAACCCTCCCTTCACCATCCACATGGTCTTCCAGGGGCATAGGGTCCTGGTCTTCTGGCCGCTGTTAATTGAGCCAGCCCTGAATAGCTGACCCCAACCAGGCCAATTAGAGCCTTTCCTTGGGAATTTTTACCCTGGTATCTGGGTAGAGGTGAGAGGGAGGAGAAAGGCCAGTTGTGGTGAAAAACACTGAAGCTGGGGGTGGGGCGGAGCAGAGATGGGGACAGGGCCCAGTTGTATCCCTGCCCTTCCCACACTTGGGTGGTTCCACTCGTTTTAAGAATCTGAGAGCCAATGATTCACTTTTCCCTTGAGTTAGTTGGAGTGGTTTCTGTCCCTGGCAATCCGAAGTGTCAACAGAAATGTCTAGACATGCACTGTTCAATTGTAGCCACTGGCCACATGTGGTTACTGAACTCTTGAAATATGGCCTGGGCAACTGGGAAACTGAATTTTTAATTTTATTGTATTAATTTAATTTTAGTTAGCCTAAATGTAAATTGCAACAAGTGGCTACCTCGATGGAAAGCACAGATATATTTCAATCATTACAAAAAGATCTATTGGCCAAAACCGGTTTGGCTCAGTGGATAGAGCATCGGCCTGTGGACTGAAGGGTCCGGGGTTCGATTCCGGTCAAGGGCATGTGCCTGGGTTACGGGCACATCCCCAGTGGGGGATGTGCAGGAGGCAGCTGATTGATGTTTCTCTCTCATCGATGTTTCTGGCTCTCTATCTCTCTCCCTTCCTCTCTGTAAAAAATCAATAAAATATATTAAAAAAAAAAAAAAAGATCTATTGGATGGCACTGGCCTAAATCTTAAGGGTTGTTCTGAAGAGTAAAATAATTCATTGATAGGCCCTCCTCAGTGCCCCACACACAGTGGGCGCTCAGTCAGTGGCAGCCAGTAGCCCAGCAACAGGTCCCCTGTAATCACTGAGAAGTGACTCAGCACCCCTGCTCTTCTCATCTCAGATGTGCTTTGATAGAGCTGAGTCAGCGTCGGCTAAGGAACCCAGCGGAGCCTCCCACCATCTTCATCGACCTGAGGCCCACAGAGCCATCAGACCAGGGGCCATTGGAAAGGTACAGAGAGCAATGACAGCCCTGCAGCAAACCCACTGCTTTGTGGATGACACATTGGCCTAGATGGGAACAGAGACTTCGAGGGATGGGAAGACGTGGGCATGGGCAAGTCCTGGTAGCACCGCTCAGTTGAGAAGTGCTCTTAGCCAGGAGCCAACAGTCCCACATGGTCCTTAGGAGGTTCTCCCAGCAGAGAGGGAGGAAGCAGAGGCAGACAGCAATCTTTCTAGGTCTAAGCAAACAGTCTAGGCAGGGTGCATCGCTCTGGGGTGCTTCCCTCTACAACCCGGCAGGAAGCCCAGTGGCCCTTTGGTTTGGGTTGGTTGGGCTTTGGCTGGCCTGCCCATCCTCCTGCCTTGGGTTACCAGGGAGGCCTGGGCACTCCAAGTCCTGGTAGGAGCCTGGCCTGGTCAGGGTGGATTGGGGCACATCTAGCAAACCCTCGTTTCCTCTGCCCCAGCTTCAGCTCCGGCTCCAGCTCCAGCTCTTCTGACAGCGAGGAGGCAGGGGAAGAGGAGACAGCTGCTCGGAGAGACTGGCAAGGCCCAGGGGGGCTATGGTAACCACTACGGGCTCCTGCTGCCTGGGGCTGCTCCCTGTTGCTTCCGCACAAGCCCTTGGCCTGGCACATTTAATGTTTGTGCTTTCAGCTCTATATGTTGCACCCAAGCCAGCACATGAGGGTGTGGGGGAGTCTGGGGAGGTGGAGAGGGTAGTCTTGGGAGCCTACCTGGGACCCAGTACCATCTCAGCCTGGCTGTTGTTCCCAGTCATCACCAAGGATGCCTTAGCCTGCTCTGAAAGACAGCTCCCCAAATTGATTTCGCCCCCAGTTGGTGATGGCAGTGGAAGTGAAGAGAAAGTACAGAGTAAAGTGATAAAAGGCCTGGGTGAATTAAGATGTGAAATGTCAAATTTAGAGAAGGCGCAAGTCTCCTTCGGGCGGGGGAGTGGGGGTTGTGGGGCAAGTCTCCTTGTGGGGCGGGAGGGACATTGTTGTCACTGGCGAGTTACAATCATGCTGTAGCAGTGTCCATTTTTGGAATTGGAAAGCTTGCTGATCCTATCCTTTGAGAATGTCAGTCTAATGCAACTTTTCCCATACTCTGGTCCATGATCAAGCATTATAGGAAAAAAGAGGGAAGAAAATTTGGGTTGAGAAAGGTCACATGGGCTTCATCCCAGACATGTCTAACACGATGACATGAATTGTGACTCTCAAGGGCGGGAAGCTGCAATCGTTTATTTACATCTTGAGAACTAGGGAAATGCTCCTGGAAGCACTGGCTCTGTGTGTGCCGTTTCAGTGGCGAAGCATTGGGAGGTTTGGCCTCCACTTGGCATTGACTGAGGGTTCTCTGTGTTACAGGGACTGTACTGGGAAAAGCCAGCTTCTCCAGCAGCTCAGGGCCTTTCGGAAGGGGATGGCCCTGCCCCAGTGGCCTGCCAACAAGGTTCCTAGGAGCAAGAAGGTTCCTGAAAATACAGCTGGATCTGGGGCTGGAAGGAAGCAACATGTAACACTCTGAGTAAGGCAGAATGCCCTGGCCAGACACTCAGGAGGAAGTCCTGGGGCCCTCGGGGACCCTCTTGGGCCAGGGATAGTCAGAGGCCCTGGTATCTCCTCTGGGCCAACTGTAAATGCCTCTGGGACTGGATCTTGGGAGGTTATTGGGATGGGTTGACTCAGTCAACACACCCAGGTCTGATGGTCCCTTCACTCTCCCGTTTCTGTTAGCAGGTGCTTTTGCAGTACAGGGCCTCTCAGACTGGACCCGTCACCTAGCTGTCTGTTAGAATTTGGTCAGAACATTTTAATGCATTTACAGCAGAGATCCCAGCACAAACTTATAGCATGAAGACAACTCAGGTGACCCTACTCCTCTGAGAGAACGTGGAAGGAAAGCCCATGAAGACAATGGTTTTGTTCTGATGGTTGAACTGCGAGCCTATACATCTTTGTCCATTTCTGTATTTTTTCCATTAATGTACATCTGTTATTTTCATCGTACAAGGTCTTTTTAAAACTTTCAGGGTGGAAAGGGTCTTGAAAGAGAATTTAGCCTGATTTTCTGGGTCCCTGGATACTCGCTAGTTTGTGTACTTACCACACCACACACACACTAAATGAACTTTTGAGATTTTTTTCTTTAAGACACAAAGGCACATAGAGGTTCTACGGTTATTCCAAACTAAAGGTGAAGTTGGCCTTTAAATACAGAGAGAATATTGAATGCTCTAATACCCCAAACTGTCCTCATTTCCTAAGGTATCCTTGTGGAGAGCCAGCAAGAGCTGAGGGCCCACAGGAGGAACTCCCACGTCTCTCACCCTGTTTCTTTGCATCTTTATCCCCCACCCCCTACCCTCATTTTCATAGTCCCTTCATAACAGGCTGAAGCCCTGATACATGGCACCTCCGTTCCCTTCCCAACTTGTTTCCAAGATTTTGCTTGTCAGTCTCCCACCCCACTCCTTGCCTGCCCTATGGGTAGAGCAGGAAAGCCATCTGGAGTCTTCCCATGCTGTGGACTGGGGTGGTCCAGCAGGGTCCTTGGCATTTGGGTGCATGTTCCAGCACTCAGCTAGGGTCACAGTTGGCTGCCATCTGCTGAGGGTGGGCAAGGGTCTCTTCCCATTTAGCTCTGCACCAGGCAAGACAAGCCCTGCAGGGCCTCAGCCAGCCACAGGAAGTCACGATCAGGGCCACAGACACTACTCATCTGGCCATAGGGTTCCCACAACCAGCCCCCACTCACAACAATGAAGGGCATTTTCATTAGAAGCCAAATGCAACAGGGGCTTCCACAAGGCCATAGGAGCCCCCAAGGAGACGTTCCTGCAGAGAAGGTGGCAGGCTGCTGTCGCCTGGGGTCCCCAAGCCCTGTCCCACCTGTGGAGGCCCCACACCCTCAGTTCTGGGGCACACACAGGACAGGGCAGCCTCGGTGCTGCACACCTCCACCTGTGCTGCCAGCCTAGCTGTCAAGAGCAAAGGCCATTTTTTCCCTTTAACCCCATTTCCCCCATCTCTACCCCTTTTAATGCCAGTAAGTTCATTTAGGATGTTTCACAGTAATAGAAAAGAAACTTTGTTCCAAGTTCAACTTTGAATTATTCTGTCAAAGCAAGTTGGGAGGATGAGGCGGTGGGAGTTTACACCTGGATTGAAAGCCTGTTCCGCCACTTGGATAAGGTTCTTAGAGGTCTCGTGGCTTCAGTTTCCCCGTCCATAAAAGACTAATGAAAGGTCCTACATCATAGCACTGCCTGTTCCATGTTATGGAACAGGCACATGATGGGCCCATCTATCAGACCAGGAAGAGGACAGCCTTCTCCAGCACCAGGCGGGACCTGAGAGAAGTGAGCTGGGGCTCTTGGCTGTGTGTATGCGGGGGGCGGGTTGTCGGCAGTCTTGGACCAGCTGGATCTGGCTGGGTATACGTGTCCTACGAGAGCTCTGGAAGCTGGCCTAGAAGGTAAAAACCATCTTTAAACTAGGCGACCCCATTCTCCAGCGAATATGCAGGACAGAGCACAATGGGGCTGGGAGGAGGACTGACAATTTATTAAGGGAGAACTGTCACACGCCCTGGAACCTGGGTTGTGTAGAAAGGTGAAAATATATACAGCAATTAAGTGACAAAACAGTGGAGCATCAAGAACTGGCATGAGAGCCAACGCCACCCAGCAATAAGGAACAGTCACACTTCTGGATAAAATATTCTAGAACCAGTGACTTCAGCAGCTGCCCCATGACTCCAGAGATGACTAAACTGGACAAGGACTTTATACCTCTTCCCTCAGCCACTCAGGAGACCGTGGATATAAAGAGGCATGTCTGCCTCCGACTAGCAACCACGGGGGCAACCACGACTAGCCTGTATCCTGGAACACGGCCACTTGGGGCTGGCACAGAGGCAGACCTGGCCCCTTACCCTGGGAGGATGGCAAGGCCAGTCAAATCCCCAGGCTTCCTCATGGGTTGGGGAGGTCTGGAGATGGAGTCAGGCATCCATCCTACGAAACTGTGGATCTTCAAAGGTAACACCCAAATCACCCCATCTCCCTTTTTAAAAATTTATTTTTATTGATTTCAGAAAGGGAGAGGGGGAGAGAGAGAAACATAAATGATGAGAACCATCGATCGGCTGCCTCCTGCATGACCCCTACCGGGGGACTGAGCCCACACCTGGGCATGTGCCCTGACCAGGAATCGAACCGAGGCCTCCTGGTTCATAGGTCAATGCTCAACCACTGAGCCACACCAGTCAGGCACCCCATTTCCTCGACACCACTGGAATGTAGGAAAAACCCACACCACCTTCATTTAGAAAGTGTAGCAAGGCTGGAGGGGAAGGCTGGGGTATGTAATGCCATAAGCCACTGCAGCCATTGCAGCTTCCCCTGCAGTGGTTTGAAAGTGTCCCTCAAATTCTAGTCCAACCAGAACCTCAGAATGTGACCTTATATGGAAATAGGGACATTGTAGATGTAATTAGTTAAGATGAGGTCATTCAGGGAGGCCAGTAAATACAATGACTATATCCTTAGAAGAGGAGAGGACACAGGGAGAAGGCCGTGTGACGACAGACGCAGCCACGGAGTGATGCTGCCACAGGCCCAGGAACATCAGGGTCTGTGGGCCACAGGGGAAGTGGAAGAGGCACAGGATTCTCTGCCAGAGCCTCCAGAGGACACCAGTGCTGTAGACACCAGGACGGACAGATTAATTCCGGTTGTTGTAAGCCGGCCAGTGTGTGGTCATTTATGCAGCAGCCCTAGAACCGAATACACCGGGCCCTGTGCCCAGCATTCCACCTGAAATGTCCCCTGCTGTGTCTCACACCAGGCCCAGGGGAGCAGAGTCCATGTGAAGGTGCCTTAAGGTCTGCATTTCCGGCTCTGGCAGCTTCATGAACTGAGCATGGTAGTCAGGCTTTGGTCCTGGGAACTCCTGGAGGGTCTGGGTAGTGGCTACACCCGCTTGGTATCGCTATGTGGATGCTTCTCCCCATTGTGGGTCCGCTGGTGTTTGTGGAGGTCGGTGCCCCGGCAGAAGCCCTGGCCACAGGCTGGGCATGTGTAGGGCTTCTCGCCTGTGTGGGTCCTGCGGTGGGCGCTGAAGTGTGAGCTGTTGCTGAAGCGTTTCCCACACTCGGCACACACGTAGGGCCGCTCCCCGGTATGTGTCCGGCGGTGGATGACCAGGCTGGAGCTCTGGCTGAAGCGCTTCCCACACTCGGCACACTGGTAGGGCTTCTCGCCCGTGTGGACCCGCTGGTGGGTGCTGAAGTTGGAGCGGTCGCTGAAGCCCTTCCCGCACACTGGACACTGGTACGGCCGCTCGCCGGTGTGTATGCGCTGGTGCTTGGTCAAGTGTGACGTCTTGCTAAAGCCTTTGCCGCATTCGGGGCACGTGTATGGCTTTGCCACCCTGGAGGGCCCCCCTCTTTCCAGAAGTTGTTCAGATTTGGTCAAACCCCTGACGGGGGCTGGTCTGTGACCTAGGAATGGGGAGCTGGGACCCCTGCACCGAGCCGACAGCACTTGGTCCCATTCTGTTCTCATCTGTGTGTCCTCTCCATCCTTAAACTGCATTCCAAGGCCTGAGACAGAGAAAGCAGAGTTCCTGAGGAGGAGGGGAGCGTCTGATAAGAAGGCAAAGGCTGAGTGGGCAGCCCTTCTGAGGAAAATGGAGAGCAATGCTCTTCAAATCCCCCTCAAAACACAGAGCATGTCAGTCAGACCCTGATGTGAGGTGCTAACGCCACGGCCAGAGGCTGTTATAAACATATGGCAACTTGTTTAATCCTTGGAATGCCCATGAGGTGGGTGCTGTTACTGTCCCATTTTATGGACAAAGAAACTGAGGCATGCCCCACCCGGTTTGGCTCAGTGGATAGAGCGTCGGCCTGCAGACTGAAAGGTCCCAGGTTTGATTCCGGTCAAGGGCATGTACCTTGGTTGGGGCACATCCCCAGTAGGGGGTGTGCAGGAGGCAGCTGATTGATATTTCTCTCTCATGGATGTTTCTAACTCTCTCCCCTCTTCCTCTCCCTCACTCTCTGGTACAAAATCAATAAAATATATTAAAAAGAAAAAAGAAAAAAAAGAAACTGAGGCACAGGGAAGTTAGGGAACTTCCAGAGTCACTTAGCTGGTAAGTTAAGAGGGCCCATAGTCTGTCTCTGGAGTCTGGGCTCGTAACCTCTAGGCCAGGGGCAGTGGTGCACCTCAGGCAACACTTGACAATGTCTGGAGACGTCTTAGTGGTTATGTTTAGGGCCTGGAGTGTTGCAACTGGCATCTACTGAGTGGAGGCCAAGGATGCTGATGTATAGTCTCTGGTACACTGATGGCCCCACAACAGAAAACAACCCAGCCCTCATGTCAATAGTGTGCAGGGAGAGAGACCCTGCTCTAGGTTGTTCTGTTTGGAGCAGGACCAAAAGGCCTGGTGACCCAGATCCTCAGCCTCCCGCTTGTGTACTTGGGGGCAGCCCTTGAACCCTCTGCAGACCCAAGTACAAGAGTGACCACCGTGGTGACACAAGCCCAGAATATAGGACCCTGGAATGGATCCTGGCTCTATCCCTCCAGGTTGTGTGACTTTGGGGAAGTGCTTTATTCTGCTTCCTTGTCTGAGACATAAGGCAAACCCCACCTGAGCATGAGGCATGCTGGGGCACCGGGGCGAGGGGGTTGGGGGCTGGGGAGCAGATGGCTTCAAGCAGAACCCCCTGAAAAGTTCACAGTGGGCACACACTGACCCGACAAGGAGGGACAGAACCTTCTGTCACCCTGAGATGTGTCCGCTCTAAGACCCAGAAGCCAAACATGGGCTTCAGCTCACATTTACTGAGCCTCAATTCTCACGTGTGTACAATTAAGATGTAACCACCTCACAGGTCTGTTGTGGGATTATTTTGTTTCTTTGTTTTGTTAATCCTCACCTGAGGATATTTTTCCCATTGATTTTTAGGGAGAGTGGAAGAGAGAGGGTAAGGCAGAGAACACATCGATTGGTTGCCTCCTGCATGAGCCCTGACCAGGGCCCAGGCCAGGGATGAGTCTGCAACTGAGGTATGTGACCTCGACCGGAATCGAACCTGGGACCCTTTGGTCCGCAGGCTGATGCTCTATCCACTGAGCCAAACTGGTTAAAGCTGTTGTGAGAATTTTTAAAAAGGAATTGAGTCTGGCGATTCTTCAAAAGGTTACAGTCACATGGCCCAGCAATTCCACCCCCAGGTGTAGGTTCAGGACAGTAAGTGCTGACAGGGTGACACTCGGGGCTCTCTGGTCCGGCTCATGCTGGGCCTGGCTCCTTGGCCTCATTTCTCCCTTGGGAACTAGTTTCACTTTTGCTCCGCGGGCAGTGTAGAGTCCCAGGCTGATCCGGTATAACTCTCCTTCTCCACTGAGGATTTCTGCTGGAGCCCAAACCTTTCTCAAGGCCACTATCTCCCCTTGCTTTTCCCTGGGGCAGGGGTCAGCACACCTGGACCCAAAGGCAGTGCCTATCTCTGAAAATAAAGTTTTCTGTTCTCTTGTGGCTGCATTCACGCCAAGATGGCAGAGACTGTATGGCCCACAAACCTGAACAATTTATTATTTGTCCCTTTTCAGAAAAGGTCTGCTGCCCTGGCCGGTTTGGCTCAGTGGATAGGGCATTGGTCTGTGGACTGAAGGGTCCTGGGTTCAATTCCGGTCAAGGGCACATGCCTGGGTTGTGGGCTCAATCCCCAGTGGGGGGGCGTGCAGGAGGCAGCCAGTCAATGATTCTCTCTCATCATTAATGTTTCCATCTCTCTCTCCCTCTCCCTTCCTCTCTGAAATCAATGAAAGTATATATTAAAAAAAAAAAAAAAAAGGTCTGCTGACTCCTCCTCTAGTCCTTTGGTTTGAACTACACAAACACAATCACCATGGTTTAAACCCCAGGAGAAGACAGAAGCTAACCTGGGAATTCTGTTTCCTTCTTGCTGACCCCGCCCCCTCGCCACCTGAGCTGGCACCACTAGAGACATCCCTAGGTCGCAAGGCAGCAAGAGCTGGGTCCCACAGGCCTTCTCCTCGGCCCTGTCGGGCAGTCAGATGGGACCTGGGGAGTCCTGCTTTCAGGACAAGAGAAGGGAGGATGTGAGTGTGGGCTGTATTAGAACCAGGGGACTGCAAATCCTTTCCTTGTGAGGGCAAACGGGCATCAGAAGAATCTATAGAAAAGTGAGATGCTCTGAAAGACAGAGGTTTTGCTTCTGTGCAGACTGTTTCCTCTGAGGGAGAGGAAGTGAGGAAACAGGGCTCAAGGCTTTCACTGGCTCTGGGAGGGAAACCCCGACACCCTGGAGGAGTCTGGAGTTTCATCACAATAGAGACGAAGTGGCCAAGAATTACAACTGAGTGGGAGAGAAACGGAACAGAGAGCAGGGGGCAATGGTCCAGCAATAGTGTGCACAGAAAATTAGTGTTCTCCTTCTATGAGGCCGTGGAAAGGTTCATTTTCATTCAGTCCACTGATTCTTAGTTTGAAAAAAATGAGGATATAAAGGAAAGTATGTAATGATTACGGCTATGTTGTTGTTTGGTTTAAATGCCAATGTAGATGCCGCTGTTGGAGGTATTATGTAGATGTGATTAACATTTACAAATCAACTGATTGTAAGTAAAGCAGATCACCCTCCTAACTGGAGGTGGGCCTCGTCTAATCAGGTGAAGGCCATAAGAGCAAATCCTGAGGTTTTCCAGAGAAGGAATTCTGCCTCAAGACTGCAGCATAGAAATCTTGCCTGAATTTCCAGCCTGATGGCTTGCCATACAGATTTTGGACTTGCCAGCCTCCACAATCATGTGAGCCAATTCCTTAAAATATATCTCTTTAGACATACACATCCTATTAGCTCTGTTTCTCTGGAGAACTCCAACTGATACAAAGCAGCATCTCAACTCCTTTAGAAAACATTTTTAGGGAATAAGTGGGTGACAGAATTGGCAAGACAAGACAAGTGGAAAGAGAAGAGACAGTGTTGAGTGGGAAGCCGGGGCACTGGTAAGGAGAGGCCATTGATGGCCAAGGCCTTGCCAGGAACAGCTCTACCCATGGGGGCTGAGGGCAGCACAGAGGCTGAAGGGAAACTGGACCAATTGAATGGGTGCAGGAATGAAAGAAGGAACTCAGGACAGCTCTGGGCATCTGCCTGGGATGTGGGTGAGCCACCACACTGCCCCCCCCTGCAGCTGGGCCACTGACAAGACACCAGCAAACCTGGCTCTGCAGGCTGTATGCAGCTGGATACCAAGCAAAATTGCCAGAGAGCACACCTGGCCTACTAAACCAACCCCTGGGCATGGGGCCGGTGAATTCCTATTTCTAACATGCTTCCCATGATTCCTCAGGCCACTCCAGTTTGAGAACTTCTAGACTGACTCCTGTAGGCAGGAGGGAGCCAGGGAAGGTGTGAGCGGGGAGGTGGCCTGGGTCTTGGGTCCTGAAGGAAAGATACACCTGGGGGAAATGCCAGGCCAGCTACATCCAACATGAGGCAAAGAGCCTCGTCCCCCTAGGACTGGCCTAATGGTCAGCAGCCAGGGTCTCCCCACGTTACCTTCATGCTTGGGAAGCGTGTCCCGGCTTCGGTCCTGCTGAGCTGGGTCCAGACGCCCCCACTCCTTCTGGGACAGGTACTCGGCCACGTCCTCCAAGGCCACTGGTACCTGCAAGGACACAGCCCACTCAGCCCTATGTGCTGGGCCAACCTGGTGAGCTGACCTTTCCCTTCACTCACGTCACAATGGTGGGTCCTGCTTGCCTCCCACCGCTTTTTCCCTCCCCACAAGCTGTCACACACCTCTCCTCCCAAACTCAGCTCACAGACACGGCAGCATCCTGCTCTTTGGGACGACACTATTGCCATCATGCTCTGTCCTGTTGCTGCAGGGCAGCACAGTGTGGACAGATTCGCTGTGCGTAGCAGCCGGATCCACTGTGTGCTCAGCCACTGGGGCCCATACTCCTTGGAGACATGGGTTAGCATGCCCTACCTCAACTCAAGCCAGCCCCGGACCCAAATGGGGCGACTTGAGGACTTCAGGACGGCTCTAAGCTAGTGGTTCCCAAATCTAGCACCAGACTGACCTAGGGAACATGATTAAAACTCAAGCAAAAGTAAATAACATAAATAAAACCCAAGCTTACAAGGTCCAGAAGAGACAAATCCAGAAACAGAAAGAGGATCAGTGGTTGCTCGGGGAGGGGCAATGGGGAGTGACCACTAAGGGGTGTGGGGAATTTTGGGCAGGTGGTGAAAATGTTCTAAAATTGATTGTGGTGATTGCATAACTCTGTAAACGTACGAAACACTGTATACTTTAAATAGATGAAATGTAAGTATATGAATTGTATTTCAATAAACTTTTATTTAAACAAGTATAAAAAACTATTCCAGGCCGTGGCTGGGAGAGGAATCTTTTTTTAAAAAATATTTTATTGATTTTTTTACAGAGAGGAAGAGAGAGGGATAGAGAGTTAGAAACATCGATCAGCTGCCTCCTGCACACTCCCTACTGGGGATGTGCCCACAACCAGCAACCAAGGTACATGCCCTTGACCAGAATCGAACCTGGGACCCTTCAGTCCACAGGCTGACGCTCTATCCACTGAGCCAAACCAGCTAGGGCGAGGAATCTTTATTTTTACCTAGAGTCCCAAGAGATTCTAACACCCAGTTGGGTTTGAGCGATTGCCCAAGCTCACTATTGGACCCCAGACTCCTACAAACACACCTAATACTCAGGTGGCATCTGAGAAAGAGCAAGATACCTCCCAGTAGGCAAAGGTCATTTCAGGGGGAAGTGCCTCAGAAACCCACAGTCCTGGCCATGGGAGAGAAGTGTTAGCATGCTTCATCATTCCTGATGCTGCAGACCAGGAATGACCACCACTCACCTGGGACCAGGCTGCAAGGAGGGATGTGGCTGGTGCTGCCATCTCCTGGTGCGGGGAGGTGACTGGGCCTGGGGAAAGAGCAGTGGCCAGTGAAGTCCACAATAGCCCACCTGTGGGCACAGCAATGAAGGCCAGGACGGTCCAGCAGCTCCCCACTTGTGCTCAGCTCCCCACCAGGAGCCACATGCACACAGGCCTCAACCTCCCCCAACGCTCTCTTCCCTTTGCCTCCCTCTTCTGAAGGGCTGCGTTCCTTGAGGGCGGCTACTCACCCTTCTTTGGCCAGAGGTCAGGGTTTCTTTTTTGTCTGTGGCTTAGCTGGGCTGGGGGCTGCTGGCTGGAGTCCCGAGCTCCTTCCTCCAGGGACAACTGCTTTGGCTGGGCCTCTGCCTGACGTTTCAAAGGCTGTTCCCCCATCTGGTGGGGCACTGCATGGTCAGAGAGTACCTCCGGGCCCTGCACACAGATGGAAAGTGCAACCAGCTCCCAGGTCAGGGGGAGACCCACAAGGTCTCCAACCCCTCATCGGGCACCCCTGGCCACCCTCACCACCAAGGTGGCCTCGTCATTGTGCCCTTGGCCCTCCACACAGCCCTACCTCCAGCAACACCCAGGGAGAATGTGAGCTGGGAAGAGGGCAGGCTCCTAGCTTGGACACAAGGAGTCCTGGTCTGCTCCTGAATGAGACTCCAGTCTCTCTCTGTCACACTGCATCGGGGTCACTGTCACACTCCTACCCTTGTTTCTTGGTGCTCTCAACAAACCCTGGGCCAGAAGGGCCCTATATCAAATCTCATTTTGGAAGTTGGCATTACTGCATTTGCTACCTTTTTTGAAATCATTTACAGGTGCTTTGGGATCATCTAATTCCTTATTCCAGAGAAGGTTAATTGAACAAACTTGAGTCGCAGTTTACTGAGCTCTGCAATAGCACTTGAGATAAGAAACATTCCCTGGGGAACTGCTAAGACAGCTGGGGAGCCCATCTCAGGCTCCCTCTCATCCAACATTCCACACCTCTGACAGGAGACGGTCCTAGAGATTCCAGGGTACACAGTGACAGAGGGCAGCCATGCAGGAACCCCCAAAACCAGGCTGGAGGGGTGGGGAGGGTATCCCGAGTTCTTATTAGTCACCATGACAGCAGGATTTGCTGACTGCACTCAACGCACACTGTGGTCAGGTTTGGGGGGAATGTGTCTGTCCTGCTGAACAGCAGTGTGTGGGCAATGGCACTGCCACAGGAAGAGTGACCTGTCAGCATTTGCCAACCATCTAATCTGGGCATGGCACTGAAAAAAGAATTTAAAAAGGTAAGGTGGCTTTTTAATTTTTTTTTCATTTAAGGAGTTTAGTGACTAAAAGCAGGAGAAATTTGTAAGAGACTTCCCACTCCCCAAATCTGGTTAGGAGGAGCTGGCATGTGCTCTAGAGTTTCGCTGTCTATAGAACTTCCCACGATGATGGAAGTGTCCCATAGCCACGCTGTCCAGTACAGCAGTCACTACCCACGTGGGACGACTGGGCACTTGAAATGTGGCTGGTGTGACTTAGGAATTACATTTTTAATTTTATTTAATTTTAAAAGTCACATGGGGCTGTTGGACAACGTAGCTCTAGAGATTGGGGAACATCTGGGGGTGCTGATCCAGGTACCCACCAGCCATGAGCACCTCCCTCTGTTGGGATCTCTTCAACTCCCAAGGTCATGCCTTGGAAGGTGTGGAATCTGTGCCTGGCCCAGTATTAACAAACCAATCCACACTAGCTTAGAAAGGGCTGGGGCAGTGGTTGGCAAACTCATTAGTCAACAAAGCCAAATATCAACAGTACAATGATTGAAATTTCTTTGGAGAGCCAAATTTTTTAAACTTAAACTATATAGGTAGAAACATTGTTATTAACTTAATTAGGGTACTCCTAAGGCTTAGGAAGAGCCACACTCAAGGGGCCAAAGAGCCGCAGTTTGCCGACCACAGGGCTAGGGGAGCTATATCAACGGGTAGATACACCTTGGCTAAGGATGAGAAACTTTATAGCTGCCTTCTTCCATTCAAAACGTCTGGTTCTCCCCATGACCCCAGCTGGCCACAGCTCCAGAACCCAAGGAATCTCCAAGTGCAGACCTCAGCAGCAGGGCCCTGAGGACACAGAGCCCCTTTCCTCACCTCAGGGCCAGAAGGCCCCCCACCTCACCCTCTGTTTCCTGGGCTCCCGCTGAAGCCCTTCCACGAGGACCACGGCCTCCTCACCGCTCTCCGGCTGCCGCTCCCGCACCCAGGCCTGGATCTCCCCGGGCAGCACCATCAGGAACTGCTCCAGCACCAGCAGCTCCAGGATCTGCTCCTTGGTGCGCAGCTCCGGCCGCAGCCAGCGGCAGCAGAGCTCCCAGAGGCGGCTCAGGGCCTCCCGAGGGCCGGCCACCTCCTGGTAGCAGAAGAGCCGGAAGAGCTGGCGGAAGGTCTCAGGGCTGGGGTCTTCCATCTTCAGGGAGGGCTCCTCTTCCCAGTGGAAGTCCTCCTCCACCTTCACAATCAGGATCTCATCCTCCTCCAGGGGTGCTGCGGGCTGGAGGCCGGGGGCAGTCGCCATGTTCCCAGTGGGCCTTGCTCCTTCTCAGGCCTCAGGGATCAAATCTGTCTCTCCCTGAACCCCTGGCCAGCCACTGGGCAGGTGTTTCTTCAGGACTCTGTGGACAGAAGATAACGTCATCTGGGGTGCACTGGGGCTGGATAAGCGTCTGCACCCATAAGCCCCTGCCTTGGGTCCAGTACCAACTGTGGGAAACCGCCTATTGTCTTCACTAGCAGAGAAGTGTAGACTTTGAAGCCCTAGCAAAGGTCAGAGCTGTGCACCACCTCTGTTAGTCCAGATAATGGTAGCTGAAGCAACTTCCCCACCAGATAGTCAGGTAAATCCTTATTGATAAGATAGTCAGTGTGTGTTACTGGAACTTGCCTGCCTAGGGGCTATGGGTGGATCCCAAACCAATGAAGGTTGGTGCGGCCTGAGCACCAGTGGAAGTCCTTCCCCTTGAGTTGGACTTACCCGCCTGGCCCCCCAATATTTCCAATTTATCTCTTGTCTCTTCTCTTTCATTTGTGTGCGGCTCCTCTTCCAGATCCTGAACCCTGAACCACGCGGGACGTGGGTGGGGGGGGGGGGGGGAGAACATTTACAACAACTAACTCACCCTCTTTGGCAAAAAGAAAGGGTTGAAATCGATCAACTTATCTCTGCTAACTCCCTGCTAGTTCCGGGGCAAACTGCTTAACCTCCCTGGGCCTGAGTTTCCTCCTCGGAAAAGAAAAGATGGTGACATCATTTACACACAGGTTGCTGAGGGAACTACACGGGATGTTCGGGAAGTTCAGCGCGGGGCCTGGGACCGGTCAGAGGTGGAGGAACGCTGAGTTTTCATTACATTACAGCTGACCCTTTCGGGATGGGGTCCCTTTGGAAATAGGATGGAAACCAGAGTCCCCGCTGCCCAGGAGGACTCTCAACCTGATTCAGTCTCAACCTGACTCGGGGTCCGGCCGCGGTGAGTCCCTCCACGAGCCCCGCCGGTACCCCGAGTGGACACTGACCACCGGGGTCCCTCCGGCCCCAGGGCCCTGCGAGGGTGGGACTCCGGGCCGACTGCCCAGATCTCGGAGAGTGAGCGGTGGCCGAGGCCGGAGCACAAACCAGGGTGCTGGGTCGGGCCGCGAGATGGCAGTTAGAGTCGGGACCCCGCGCCCTCGGACTCACCCGCTGCGCTGTGGACCCTGGAATGTTCGGTGCGCGGGACGGGAGCGGGAGCGCGGGCGCTGGGGGCTCCACGGGCTGGCTGGCTGGGGCCGCGTGTGGGCAGGTAGAGGATCCCAACTGCAGGACGCAGCAGAGCGGCGCGGGCATTGGCTGAAAGAGCTGTCCAGCTGGGGGACGAGGCAGCGTGGGCAGGTCCACGGGAAGCTTTGGGCGGGGCGTAACGTACTCCTCGCGCGATTGGCCGAGCTGGCTGTCAAGAACAGTAATTAGTTTGGATGGGCGGGTCTTTGGGAGGTGTTGTGGGTTACGTCATCCTCGCACCATTTGCGGAGAGACTGTCAGGCGTTGGCAGGCCACGTAGGCGGGCGCGCGAGATGCATTTTGGATAATGTAGTTCTGGAACCCCTGGCTGAACCGCTGTGAGTGTGGGGACGAGGCACAGGTGAGCCCGCGGTAAGCAGTGTGGGTAATTAGTGCCCCCCTACCCCGCACCTTCAGTGAGTACATTCTGGTGCTCCGAGGCTCCGCACCTGGGCCATTTCCCCGTCTCCCTTCCATACCTACCCTCCCGCTGTGGAGGGGAGCTTGAGAAGTGACTTTTTTACTTATATAGTACTTTGTACGTACCAGGCTCTGTTCTAGGGCTTTCCTATTATTAACCCGATTCCTTTTTGAAACAACCCTAGGAGGTAGGTAGGGTTACCCCTATTTCATAGATGAGAAATCGGAGGCACAGAGAAGTTCAGTGAGGTTGGAAGCCAGACATCTATCCTAGTTCAACCCCTTAATTTGATTTTTTTAAATCCTCATTCAAGGATATGATGTTGTTTTCATTGATGAGAGAGAGAGAGAGAGAGAGAGAAAAGAAGGGAGAGGGAGAGAGAAACATCAATCGGTTGCCTTCCATAGGCACCCTAACCAGAGATGGAACCCACAACCTGGGTATGTTTCCTGACCAATAATCGAACCATTGAACCTTCGGTGGGTGGGAGGACGCTCTAACCACGGAGACACATCGGCCAGGGCGTCAGCCCCCTTAATTTTAGAGACTCTCCATTCTCATGTTTTGTCCCCTGTCCCCCTACATCCGATACCCAGTTTTTATTGTGAGGGCACCAGGCAGAACCAGACACTGGGTTGCCCATGACTGATTTCTGTAGACCACCACCTCCCTGAGTGGGAGGCATCTTTAAGGTCAGATGACAGGTTTCTGGACTGCTCTCGGCCCCCACAGCCTTGTGGGACCTGGAGAAAGCAGGCCCATATGTGCCTCAGTTTCTCCTTACAGCACCAGGCCGCTTCTCAGGAAAGTCGGGATCTTAGAATGAACTACCCCTGGTTATGGGTGTGTTGCTGGGACTACCAAGGCATGCAGCTGTGTAGAGAACTGGTGCCCAAGTCCAACCAGGAGGCCTGCCATTCTGTCGTCTCTAGGAGGGTGTGGAAAGGGATAATTTGAACAAGTCACATCAATGTTTCTCTCCCTCTCTCTTCAATCAATAAAAACATACTTAAAAATAAAACAAGCAAACAAGCAACAATAAAAACACACCCCACAGCAGTGCCAGCATGATGACAGATGGCTGCTGACACAGGCCTCTGTGTCAGGGACACAGGCAGTAGTGGGGGATGTAGACCCCATGCTGCCAGCCAATCAGATTGTTCCCCAGAAGCCAGATATCTCCATGTTTAGGTGAAAACTCCCAATTTTAAATGTAGACTTGAAATGGTTTTAAATCCTGTTTCAAATAAACAAAACACAACAACACATGTCTGGGCTGTGTCTGGCGCACACAGACCTATAAGATGATGCAGGCAGGATGCAGGTGGAGACAATGCTCTGAAGAAAAGCAGTGCACCCAAGGGAGAGAGTGGTGCGGTTGCTCTTTCAGGTAGAGAATATTGCAACAAAAGGACTATTCACTCACCTGGGGTCTACTCAAGGAGGGAAGCCAGCATCTCCTTGGCTTCAATACTTTCTTCAAAGGCTTGTTTAGACATGACAGGAGGTCAGAGCTAAGGGAAGATAGTCAGAGGTAAAATGTCTGGCTTACCCCCCAAAAATCTGTAGGCTGAAGCCAACCATGCAGAGGAGAGCCAGCCTGTGAGACTGAGGCAGACAGACACACAGAGAGAGTGGGGAGGGGTGGAATTAAAAGCATCAGTGGTTCCCTAGCTGGTTTGGCTCAGTGGATGGAGAGTCAGCCAGCGAATTGAAGGGTCCTGGGTTTGATTCCGGTCAAGGATTCATGCCCAGATTGCGGGCTCGATCCCCAGTAGGGGGCGTGCAGGAGGCAGCCGATCAATGAGTCTCATCATTGATGTTTCTATCTCTCTATCCCCTCCCTCTCCCTTTCTCTCTGAAAATCAATCCATAAAAAAATACATTTTTTTTTTTTAATAAGCATCAGTGGTAAGAGAAGATTCTTACTGAAGGCAGGCCAAGGTGATTAGACATAACTGAGGTGCCGGGAGCCGGTCCATCCTTGCTGTTTCAAGGGACCTGGCATATATGGCATACTGTTCTTAATATGTTTGCTCACCTTCTTGGCACTATGTGTTTTAACCAAGTTCTCCTCTCTGAGAAAGGTTGCTTCCCCAGGTAGGGATTTTCCCCTGAAGTTAGGGAGGGAATAAAACCCCTCAACTAAGTGCCAGGCGGGTAATTAATCACTTTAACTACGAACAATCATGCTTAAGCTACATAATCTTTACTCCCTGGAATGGAGATAAGAAACGCCCTAACCTTTGTAATAGAGATTGATAGGATTGAATCAACTGGTATAAATACAGATGTAACAAGACAGAAAGAGAAGAACTTACAAGAACACAGAACTTAGAAGACAGAACTTAGAAGACAGAACCTACACAGAACCTAGAGACAGAAAAACTTTGCTGGAGAGAACATGGCAAAAGATCCTGGACTGAACCTGACTACAGAAATTGGCAAGAGAACCTGACTAGAACCTGGTGACTGAACCTGGCTGGAGAACCTGCACAGAACCTGGCTGGAGAACCTAGCGAGGGAACATGGCTACAGAACCTGGCTGGAGAACCTGGAGAACCTAGCAAGAGAACATGGACACAGAACCTGGCTGGAGATCCTAAGCAGAACCTCTCTGGAGATCCAGACTAGAACTTGACTGGAGATCCTGACTGGAGATCCTGGCTAGGCTGCTGATCAACTGAACACTGTCTCCGTGTCCTTCCTTCTTCGCCGACTCCATCCACACCTTTGGGGACCCGTGGACCTGCTGGGGTTGGACCCCGGCACTGAGGGATGCTGAAGGTTGAGGACCCCCATCAGATACCAAGGTAGGGCATTCTGGCTACACTGACTTAGCAGGATTCTTGCTAAGACTGGGAAATGCAAAGATGAACACAGGTAAGCCCAGAAGTCAGAGCCTAGTGGAGAAGGGAGTTTGAGTAGAGTTTAGTCAAGATCATCTTTGCCACCACTTTCAGGGTAAAAAGACGCCCTATTCCTTACAGGAAGGAAGACTGCTCTGGAGAAGCTGGGAGTGCCCTTTGGGGTTCTCATTTCTAAAGCAGAAGTTGTTCAAGATAAGACTTCTAAAGAGAGGCCAAGTGCCTTTGCCCACCTTCTGCCTGGGAGATAAAGCCTCCGGGTTCAAGGTGTAGCCCTCCCTACCCAAGCTCCCAACAACTTCCAACCCCTATTTCTTTTTGAACAATAATAATGGCCACCAATCCCTTAGCACCAGGCAATACTGTACATACTTGCATTCTGTTTGTTCCAAATTTAGTAATAGTATATAGGGTGTCCCCAAAAATATATACACACACACTTTGAATAATTAAATAGGCAGTGTTTACTAGAATACATTTCATTTTCAAAATTGAGTTACCATGCCGAAACCGGTTTGGCTCAGTGGATAGAGCATCGGCCTGCGGACGGAAAGGTCCCAGGTTCGATTCCGGTCAAGGGCATGTACCTGGGTTGCGGGCATATCTCCAGTAGGAGATGTGCAGGAGGCAGCTGATCGATGTTTCTCTCTCATCGATGTTTCTAACTCTCTATCTCTCTCCCTTCCTCTCTGTAAAAAAATCAATAAAATATATTTAAAAAAAAAAGTTTCAAAATTGAGTTACCAGCTGTTAAAATGTGTATACATTTTGGGCACCCCGTAGGTACTGTGATTCTCTCTACAGGTCAAACAAACAAGAAACCAACCCTGCTCCAGAGTTTAAGTGTTGAACCCAGGCAGGGCCACGTGGTTAGGAAGTGACAGAAATGAGACTGGAACCCACCCTTTGGCTCCAGGACCCCAGCTCCTCAGCATGCTCCTCAGCTGGTGATAACAGCCAGGGACCTGCGGCCTGACTCAGTTAGCGACACGGGAGTCTCTCCCCTTGTCGTCCGTCTGCTGGCGAACTCTCTCTGCCCAGTTTCCCTGCCTGGGCACGCCCAACACCCCCTGCCAACAGAAGCCAGGACGGGTGGCAGCCCAGGTTGGAGTTCCACCTCTGCTCTGGTGGCTGCAACTGCAGGAAAGTCATTGCCTGGATGTCACCTTCCCTCCCGGAGCTTCAATCTCCCGAGCTGGGGAGAGCCCCACCGGGAAGCCGGCACCCGCCCTGCCCATGTTGCCAAGTGGTTAGGCAGTGGTTCTCAACCTTCTGGCCCTTTAAATACAGTTCCTCATGTTGTGACCCAACCATAAAATTATTTTTGTTGCTACTTCATAACTGTAATGTTGCTACTGTTATGAATCGTAATGTAAATATCTGATATGCAGGATGGTCTTAGGCGACCCCTGTGAAAGGGTCGTTGGACCACCAAAGGGGTCGCAAACCACAGGTTGAGAACCACTGGCGCACGAAGGTTCGTGGGTTCGATTCCTGGGATTCCCGGTCAGGGGTGCATAAGTGAGGGAACCCATTGATCTCCCTTTCTCTTTCTTTCTCTCTCTCTCTCTCTCTCTCTCTCTTCCTTCTCCTCCCCCCCACCCCCAATCAATGAAAAACATAGCCTCGGGTGAGGATTAAAAACAAAAAGTAGGCGCACAATAAAGGTCAGCCTTGGGGACTAGGGCCATGGAGACGCACCCCGGATACGCCCTCGCCAATAACCACCGCCCTCCCGCGTCTTGCCCAAAGGCTCTGCCGGAAGCCGAGCCCGGGCTGTT